TAAACCAAAAGTCATTTGCATTTTGTATCTATTTATCCTATATCCTGATGAATATAGAGCTGTATGGAACCTTCCTAGACAAGGAACATCATACCTTTTGTACATGTAGAACCTGTCTCCAGTTTCCCAATGAATGGGCAAAGTATAAATAAACAAAGAGGCAGGAGTTGTAGCTGAGTGGTAGAGTGAGTGCTTTCCTTGCAAGAGGCTCTGAGTTCAATCCCCAGCAATAAAAACAGACATAAAAAAACCAAAAGTGAATTAAAGGATAATCAAGCTAGGAAGAAAACCTGAATACCCATGACTGTATTTAAGTTAATGATGATTACATTCACTAAGTCAGAATTTTTCAGACCCCTTCATGGTTCCCTCTTCATCATCTTGTAAACTAAGGAAAATTTTAATTGGTAAACTTGAAGAAGAGGAAGTATGTAGAGAAGTGCAAAATAAAAATAGAAAATCAAAATTAAGAAATGTGGAGAAGTCAAAGAAGTGAGGATGGCCGGGGATTTACTCAGTGTTTTCACCGCCTGCTGCGCAAGCACAAGGACCCGAGTTCGATCCCCAGTACCAAAAAAAAAAAGTGAGGAAAAACTTAAGTCAAATAATTGGAAAAAATAACGAAAATATTCAGTATGCCAGAAGACTTAAAAAAAGAACTTTTTTAGGGGCCGGGGATTTAGCTCAGTGGTTCAGCCGCCTGCCTCGCAGGTGCAAGGACCCGAGTTTGATCCCTGGTACCAAAAAAAAAGAAAAAAAGAACCTTTTTGATAGGACATTCATTTTAAAATCTAAAGGTTTTTTGGGGAATAAGTTTATTACCAAAAATAAGATTGTTAGAACCCTTTGATTTAAACTAAGTATTCAACATTAATACCTGTGATTAAATACCTTCAGTGTATATGAGGAAAGCCTCAGGAAGGTGATGAAAGTCAAGCATTTCATATTTATTTTTAGGTTTACTAATTAACTAACCAAAAAGGACTTATCCTCCTGTTTAAGCTAATGTATAATTAAGGTATCTAAGTACAAAGAATTTGTCCATAAAGCTAAATTAGAATCTAGGAGGCAAAACCTGAGGTTTTTCAGCTACATTTCTTTAAAAATACAAATTTCTGAAAGCATTATCTATTCTTCCCAGAAAGCATTGAGAAGCTACCATAGGTGAGGCGCTGTAATAGGTGCTTTGGGGGACTCAGAGGCAGATAAAATGAAGTTTCTTTCCGCAAGTTTCTAACCAGCTGATAACCTAAGGACACTAGAGTAAATTTCCTCTCATTTCTGAACCAGTTTCCTGAAATTGGTTCTCTATGCCTAGTGGTTGAGTTTTCCAGATAGTGCAGAGTTGACCATTATCAACATCAAGGACTTTTATTTTCAAATAGTGAATGGTAGGGGCACCGAACACACTTTCATCTCTTCTTAATCACATAGGATCTTCGCATGAGCCCAGGGGACTGTGCTAATCCACGGTGTGGTCACACTCTGAGATCTGACCAAGAAGCAGACTGTTTGATCTTGCATCCGTGGCCCCAGACTGTTCTTGATCATGTATTGCGTCGTTAGTGATTGCTATTTAATGAGCCCCTCTTTTAAGCTTTAAGGTGTATTAATGTTCAATGTGAAGGACACTTTGACCCTCACCAGACCTCTACGTGGGCTGTGCTGTTCCTGTCTTTTAGGTGGTTCCGGTGAGATTTCGAAGTATAAACAACTTGTCTGGGCCTAAGATTCAAACCCAAGTCTAACTGCAGCACCTGATCCTACCACTACCATCCTGCAGGACCAGTGTTTTAGCTGAGATCTGAAGCTTAAAACATTCTAAAAATTAAATTTCTTTTCCTACATTTGGTACCCAAACTCATTTTGTGGCAAAATTTGACCTGAACTGATTTGAGATGATAGTCTTTATCTTACTTAATATAAATGTTTATATATTTAACTGCACCAATATTGTATCTGTATAATATTTTGTATTACTCAAGTATGATATATGTACTCCTTTTTACCCTCCTGAAGTAGGCAAACCTTTCAATTCTGAAATCATCTAGCCCCGTGGGTTTCAGAGGAGAGATACTGACTTACCAGCTTGCTCTTACTGCTCATGGCCCTCTGGCCTTGTGGTTCTAATCTCTTGCTCTGAATCAGCTGTGGGCTGGAAAATTCAAGCCTGTAAATTTTCACTACCCGAAGGAACTCATATAATTTTTTTAGAAACATGAGCTCATACTTATATTCCCAGCTCCAGTTCGACACCACAGAGTTCTTATACTTCTCTACTCCAGAACATCTTTCTCTTTGTTACAGAAGAAATCATTTGTGATCCTTATTAAAGATGGTAAAGGAAACTTTAAATATATCTGGGTGCTGTGATGGGGTTTTGCAGTAGGGGAGAGAAGTCAGGCTCAACCTCGCATGCAACAGGGACAAGTTGAGGGTAACTAAGGAGGAGAGTGTGGGGGTCAGTGGATGGAAAGTTACTAAGAGGAATCAAGGCTGGGGTGATTCCTGCTAGACCAATTCAACTAGATTCTTACTGAAGGCAGGCTAGGGTCATTAGATACCCAGGGTAAGGGACAAGGAATTTGATCAGATATGAAGGGTGACTCAGTACCAAGGATAGGGGGTATTTGCAAGATTCTTGCAAAAACTAGCCCAAGCAGAGCAAGACAGAGCCAAAGGTCAGGGCCCTACTCAAACACAGGACTCAGAGGAGCTTGACTGAAATTCATAAAGCATTCCTTTCTATTTAACCTGGATGCAAAACTTTTCTCTTGGCATGTAAAAATCTAGATTTATATTTTAACTTAGATAAATAGCTCCTTCTTTATATCATGATACTATGACAAATATCAGCATTTTAGTGTATTTAAAACTAGAACATTTATGCAGAACTTTAAGGAATACTATATATTACTTGACTTAACCAGAATTACAGAGAGAGAGTAGATGTTGGATGGTCATTTCTGGGGAATTACACCCCTTCCTCCCTTACTTGGAATGGGTATTTGGGGATTAAAGTACTCATCATAGTCAAAGTGATGAGAGGAAAAGTGAAGAAATCATGAATTAAAGATTGACCTACTGAAGGCCTTCAGTGCACTCACTTAGAATGAGGGGTGGATTAAGACTGTAATGTTTTATTCTAACTTTTTAAAAATGGACAAGGGGTCTAGGGTCAGTGGGAAAGAAAGGTTCTGCAGATGGCTTTAAAAGTGGGTTCCTGTTTTCAAGTCTTATTTGGTAGAGCAAGGAAAGGAAGAAACTAGAATGTGACTGGAGTGTTAGAAAGTTGGGTTTCTGAATCTCTTGTTTTCTACCTTTATCTTATAGGGAAGAATAAGGAGAGTTTGGAGGAGAAAAGTACTGGATGAGTTTTGCTGACATTGCCCATTTCAGAACAGCTTCCAGGGAGCATGGCGCTTCTGGAGGGCCTAGCCAGTGCAAGGGGGTATCACGGAGAACAGAAGGAACAGTGTTTATTGACCACTTGCTCTATGTCAGGCTTTGTACATTAACACATTTAGTTTTTGTCAGGCTTTGTACACGTTAACATATTTAGTTTTTACAAGTTTGAGCCCTACAAAACAGATTAAGGTGGCTGAGATTCAGGGGAGTAAAGAAGCTTGCCAAAGGTTTCACGACCCCAAAATAGACAAGTTGTGGCTGAAAGCTATTTCTGTCTCCAAAGCTCATCTCCTTTTTTCACGTCCTCCACCCTCTAGCCATTATCAGTTTACAGAGAGTTGGGGGTGGATGCGAGACCAGTCTTAGAATTATTCTGGCCACATGGCAGCAGGACAAGAGGCTTGGGTTTCTTCTTTCAGTTGCCTTTCTCTTGTTGTGTCCTGTTGGTGTCAATTTTATGCACAACCAGCTGAGAGCAACCTCCAGAAGAACCCCTGACCTTTTGTATTTAAGATTGATCAACAAAAACAAAAAAATCAGGCATCATGTGGTATATTGAGGTACATACACATTGTGTAATGTGTAAATCAGGGCAAACGTCTCTCTCTCTTCAAACATTTATCATTTTTTATGGTGAAAACATTCAGAGTCCTTTCAGTTTTTTCAAATACATGGTACAGATGCTCCCTGGTGGTCTAGTGGTTAGGATTCAATGCTCTCAAATACACAGTACATTGCCAGTGGCTGTGGTCACCCTACCATGCAATAGCACACCAGAACTGCTTGTTTCTATCCAACTTAGAACCCATTGATCCACCTCTCCCCATTGCCTCCCCCCTCTACCCTCTCCCATTTGTGGTAACCACCATTTTACTCCCAACTTCTGTGAGATAATTTTAAAAAGATTTTATGGGTGAGTGAACTCATACGGGGTTTTCTTGTTGTGTCACTTTCTCATCAACACTATCTTCCCCTCTCAGACATGCCATAGATCACTCTGCCTGTGAAGGTGTCATGGGCTGGTTTCTCTGAAATCTATGAACCCCATAGCTCAGTCAGAGCCCCTCATCTGCAATCACACAGCCTCCCAAGTTTGTGGCTACTTTCCACAGTGGCAGAGTTATGGTTCCTGAAGAAATACATTTGAAGAAAATCTTAAGAAACAGTTGGCACACAGTAGGTAAATATTTGTGGAATGAATGGATATACTGCCTCCTGGAAATCCCTGTGAACAGCAGTGGATTTACATGGTCTACTACTTTTGTACTTGGCAGTTTTCCTACAGTGTTTATTTGAAAACAAATTCCGATTATATCCCAGGTCACTTTTATACTGCCACTGGTAACACTAGGAATATATTTGTGTTAAGAAAAAATGCTTTCAAGATTGCCTCTTGGGATAAATGCTCTTTTTCTCTTATAATTAAATTATATTCTTAAACTTGCTATTAGAGAGGATAAAAATTTAACTAGAGACCGCAGGATTATTTAATTTCCTCTTCCCAACCAGTAATAGCTGTGTTACCATGAAAGCACTTTACTTCTCCATTTGTTAGATTTGAAAATCATGGAACATTTTTCATCTCTTAATAGGGAGAGATAATGCATGTGAGAAAACTTCATACATGTTTCTACGAAAGGAACTGCCTGTGCGACTGGCTAACACAATGAGAGAAGTCAATCTTCTGCCTGATAACTTACTGAACCGCCCTTCGGTGGGGTTGGTTCAGAGTTGGTAAGTAAAGTGGCTTGAACTGGATCTTCCCACAATGCTGTGAACATTTGGCATTGGAACTATTCTCCACAAAAGTGCACATACTGTCCGTCTGGGAATGAGTTACTGGGATAGCTGGGTTTTCCATACCATTAACAGGTTTTTTTGACTCATTTTTAAAAGTATGGCAGAAGCACTGAGCTAAATCCCCGGCTCTTAAAGAAGTTTCTTAAAGGTAGTATTTCTTGTAGAAAGATCAAGTCATTTAAAGGAGAACCTCAGATTAGAAAAATATCAGCTCCCTGCTATCTTTCATCTACCCTATGAAAAGTAAAAAAATCTTAACAGAGTATACCTTAAAGTTAAAACCGTTGTAGCTCTGATGCATAAAGAAGATGCTATTTAATCGAGGAAGTTGAATCTGTGATGAAACTCCCCACCAAGTAAGTAGGGGGAGATCAGCAAGCACTAGAATGTAAGAGCAGGTGGTGTGTTTTTAGAAAAGTATTTTCATATATTTGAAAAACAGTTGCAGGTTTTCTCTGTGTTATAATAGCAAGGTTGAAGTCCTTGAGAAAGCTGGAGTAGTTGAGGCCAGACACAGTGCTGTGGGGACACAGAGGAGGGGCAAAAAGAACTGGCTGCGGTGTTCCGCTGTCCCTTGGTGGGTGGTGTAATTGACTGCACATGTCACAGAGAGAGACCTTAAAAGAAGGGAATGCTGTGGACAGATATAAGGAAGATGGAACTGTTAATCAGCTTGCATTCAGAGGGCTTGTGGAGATAAAGTTACCAAAAGAGAATGGACAGCCCTTCCTCGGTAATATTGTAAATTCTTAGGGACAAATGGATCATCCAAGAAGTACTATATTAGATGGTCTTAGAGGTACAGGGTTCAGTCTCTCTCCTAGAAAAGCAGCAAGGACTCTGCCCCTGCACCTTACAGTGCAGGAAAGATCCAAGAGACAGTGACATCATAGTCGGCTGCATTCTGCTCTGAATTCATAGCTTATTTGAGAAGGGGCGGCAAGTACTTGTTTGCATGAAAAACTTCTTTTGTTTTAGATTTTAAAGCCTTATTCCATAAACTGGCCTTTTCTCATTTGTGCTTTTTACATTAGTACATACTAATTGTACAAAGTATTGCGTTTCATTGTGGTGTCCTCATACATACATATAGCATACTTTGATTGTATCCGTCCTCCCATTCCTTTCCCTTCCCCTTCCTTTCCCCTCCCTCCTCCTCCCTCCAAGACAGGCGGTGTAACCACTGAGCTAAATCCCCGGCCCTTCCTCCCTCCATCTCCTTAGACTGCATGAGACTTCTTTATTGCTTCGAGACTGTTAGAGATTTTTCCAGCAGAAATTATAAATGACTATTAAGTACCACTGTGGTAAGGATTTCTAGGTGGGCATGATTAAGTCCCCTGACCTAGTGGTGACATTTTCTATTGCTTATGTGCTAGCTACTTCAGGGGCTTCAGAGTAAATTGCTGGCTCTGTAGTGTTTTCCAACACCAGCCACCAGTTCTCTGATTTTCTAGACACCGACTGGGTATTCAACAGCTCAGTTCAATCCCGATGCTAAGTACCTGAAGTTAGCACGGGCCCCATAGCTTAAAGGCCTGGTCTCTCAAGACTGACCCCTGTTCAGCTGGCAACCACCAAGCCCTGTGCCATCTGTGCTTTTGACTGAATGGCTGTAAATTGAGTCTACATGGCCTTGTTAGGCTTGATACTTTTCTAGAAGGGCTCACAGAACTCAGGAAAGTACTTTGCTTATGTTGATGGGTTTACGGTAAAAGATACAACTCAGGAATATCCAGGTGGCAGAAATGCATAGGGCAAGGTGTGGGGGACATGTGTAGCTTTGTACCCTCTCTGGGCGCAGCACCTACCTATCCTGTACAACCTAGGAGCTTTCAGAATCGCCGTATTCCAGGGTTTTTCTAGAGCATAATCTCCAGACTCCTCCCTCCCAGAGGTTGAGAGTGGGGCTGAAAGTTCTAGCCCTCTAATCATGTCTCTCTGGTGACCAGCCCCATTCTGAGCCCATCTAGGGGCCCATCCTAAGTCACCTCATTACCATAAGCTCAAGTGCGATCAAAAGGGATTCCTTATGAATAGCAGAAGGTATTCCTTTCATTCAGGAAATTCTGTGGGTTAAGAAACTATGTCCAGGGGCCGGGGATTTAGCTCAGTGGTTCCGCCGCCTGCTTTGCAAGCGCAAGGTCCTGAGTTCAATCCCTGGCCCAAAAAACAAAACAAAACAAAACAAAACAAAAAAAGAAACTATGTCCGAACAAGGGACAAACACCAAATGTATTTTTGTGTCATAACTGCACTGGCAAAGTATAGTGTCAAACAAATTGCTGTGTCAACTCTTTTTTTGGTGTTTATCATTCTTTTATAAAAATTCCAAACATATGCATATAATTTAAACATTCTGTTTTTCAAATAATTTTCTACTTAAGAGAATGATTGCAGCTAGGTATAGTGGTGCACGTCTAATCTCAGCACTCTGGGAGGCTGAGGCAGGAGGACTGAAAAAGTTCGATCCCAGCCTGGGCAACTTAGCAAGTCCCAGTCTCCAAATTAAAAATACTGGTGATGTAACTCAGTATGAAGGCCCTGGGCCTGGGTTCGATTTCCAGTGCTGAGACAGAGGGGGGAGGGGGGAAGGGGACAAAAGGGGGAGAAGGAGAGGGAGAAGAAAAGACGAGAAAGGAGGAGGGGAGGGGCGGGTAGGAAAGAGTCTGAGATTGATTGAATACAAAACTAGTAGAAAGAACTCCCATATACCTTCACTCAGATTTATCAGTTAACATTTGGCCATATTAGTTTTATCATTGTCATTTATAATTCGTGTTCTCTATGTGTGTGTATTATGTATATATGTGTTTATTTATGTATGATACAGCTGTATGAAAGAGTTGTGAAAGTTGACAGAATCAAAATGGAGTCACTTGAGTTATCAAAAAATAAATAAAACAGGGGCTGGGGATTTAGCTCAGTGGTTCTACCGCCTGCCTCCAAAGCACAAGGACCCGAGTTCGATCCCTGGTACCAAAAACAAAAAACAACAACAACAACGAAAGAAAGAAAGAAAGAAAGAAAGAAAGAAAGAAAGAAAGAAAGAAAGAAAGAAGTTATAACAAGTTCTTATACATGATCACCTGATAGTAACTACCACAAACGTCTGCCAGAACTACAAGCTTGCAGAGGCCACTACAGCCTTATCCAAGAAGTATTTCTGTAAGGACGTCTGCCAGTACCTCTTTGACCTTGGACAAATGCCATTCTTGTTATTAACCACTGTGCTCATGACATTCAGGAAGTTTAACACTGGTACAGTAATGTTTCCTAATGTGTAGAACTTGTTATCATTTCACTAATTGTTTTAATAGTGCTCCTTTTTTTTTAAGCACCTTCCCCTCCTGATTTAGGAATCCTGCTCAGGATCATGCATTTGTGTGTTTTGGGCATTTCCTTTTGTTTTTAACCTCTCAGAGATTGCAACTGATCTGAGAGATGCCAATTCTTCTTACTATTGCTAAGGGGTAACACCCGATCTGCTATTGCTGCAGGGTTAAAAGTGAATTTTATATATAAGACTGTCCCTTCAGTCATGGGGTGTTCTTCTTTCTTGATTTTTAGGCTAGGAGTCTCAGGATAGTCTGGACTCCTGTCTATCTTTGCCTTTGTTCTTTAAAGGACTGTCCCCTTTGGGAAGGACAGGAGGACTGCCTAAGCTTGCATGCATGTGAAAAGACAGAGGGCATCTCTGGGGTTGGCCAACTGTGACCTCCAAGGGTATCTTCGGGGGTTTTTTTGTATTAGGCATTGAACTCAGGACCTTGTGCTTTTCAGGCAGGCGGTGGCACCACTGAGCTAAATTCCCAGCTGGTAGAGATATTCTTAATCCAGAAGCTATCTGAGGACCTAAAATACATTCCTCCATTTTGTATTGATGAAATTAAATTTCAGTCGGAGAAGGCAACATTTCTTTTTTCTAAATTCTTGGTGTGTGCTTCAGTGTCATTCATGTGCTTCTTAGAATTTATATGTATATTTTTGATAGTGAAACCATAAACTTGGGATATCAGCTAGGATATGTTTGTAATGGCAGCAGATGCAGCTAAACCTGGCTTGTGTAACTAGAAAGTCCAGCTGTAGAGATGAGCTTTTGGCGTTGGTTTGACTCAGAGATTCATGAGGCTATCAAAGCCCTCCTTTTGATGGTGTTGGCTTCATTTCCAGGCTCAGTTCCCTCTTGGTGACAGAATAGCTCCAGCAGTTCTGGAGATCCACACAGCATTCTATAGAAAAGCTGACCAAGTTGATTTATTTCCCAGAGACCTCCAGCAAGTCTCTCCTTTGCCTGGCACAAATTGAGGCTGTATGCCCATTCCTGAGCCAATCCTTGTTTCAGGGAAAATACATGCAGTCATAGGCTTTGACCTGGACTGCCAGACTAATTAATAATTTGTGACAAGAGAAAATTGGGCCCCCACACGCTTTGGAGGTAACAGCTTCTCCCGAAGCACTTGACCTACACGTTGGGATGAGATGAAACCTGAGGGAAAATTGGAGTACTCTTGGAAAGAGGGAAGAGAGGAATGGATGTTGGATAGGCAACTAATAGTAACTCTTTATTTTTTAGGTACATGCAAAGTTTTCTTGAACTGTTAGAATATGAAAATAAGAGTCCTGAGGATCCAAAGGTCTTAGATAAGTAAGTATACTACCACTTACCTGAAAGTAAAAATAACTAGGTAAAAAATGTTTTGGTAAATGAAACTCATGTCATTAAGACCCAGGAAATAAAATTTGGACAAAAGTGTTGATTTCCTTAGTGAGTAAATGACTGAGCATTGGAGTCTTTAAATTTTTGAGAATTTAACATAGTACACAAGGAATGATGCTACTTCAGATTACCGTTTCATGACCCAATTCTTAATACATCTGGTCAAAGTGAACTGGTCACTAACTGTAAACATTGCAGGAAATGTTCCATCTAGTGGTAGGTTTAAGAATGCAGTGGCCTCCACATAGGCAGGAATTAGCTACCCAATCCTTTGCAATTTAAAATTTTTTTCAATGGAGTATTACATTTGAGCACAGAAAAACTGTAAAGGTTTTATTTTGGGGAAGCATAAAAGAATGTGCTTTTAATATAACAACCCAAGTCCTGTTGCTGCCATTGTGCACAAAGACTGCTAAATTCTCATGCTGATGGAAAGTATTTGTTTTTCCTTTTTACTTAGCTAAGAAACACTAACCCTCGCTGTGTGAGTTTTTTCTCCAAGAGAAATTGTTTCCTTCACATTAATTTCTTCCCATTTCATATAGACATGAGTGAATACACATGGCAGGCCTGTTGTGCTGAGAAATTTCTAAGTATAAACCTAATCCACATAGTTGTGAGACAGACACCCAACATACAAGTTTTCCATGAAAAGAACTAGGGAAACAGCACATTATACAGACAGCCTTAGGGAGTATTTGACCTAGACATCTGAATTCACAAATAAGGAAACTGAAGTCAGAGATGTGAAATGACTTGCCCAAGATTGTGACTGTTCTTAGCAGGCATAGGTCTGTAAGTCACGGTTCCTTTTCCCTAGCGCATTGTGTTCTTTGCCATGTACCGTACTGGGAGAACTGCTGCTCGTACTGGGAGACCTGCTACTTTGATTCATGAGTAATTAGCCAAGTTTACTCATAAATTAAGATGCAAAGGGGAAAAGGCCCTGACCTGTTTTATGCTTTGCTAAGTGATTTGTCTAACAAGCCTGTGAAATGTAGAAGGAACAAGCATTAGATTAGAGCCCCAAATGCAGTGGTTTCCTTGATACAAACCAATGTTGTCATTAAAGGTATCAATATTAAATGAATTGAATCCAGAAGCTGTGTTTTCTCAAAAGTCATTAGGTGATGACATGTTGTTCAGCTGAAAATCCTACAAATGAGGGCTAGCCTCCCTAGCTCTAAATTTGAGGACATGGATTTGTAGAAGTACATGATACGAAGTTTCTGCATGTTTTTCTGCAATCCTGTCTTGATTTCTGGAACAGATTATCAGCCAGATGCAATGTATGGACATAAGCCTACTTTGTAATCAGTCAGCCCTGAATCTAGTGTGTTCTAGGTCTTCATGATAGTAGCTCTCACTCAATGAAGCCCGGTAACTTGCCAGGTTTACCAGCCTGCTTAGGAGCAGTGGTATTTGAAAACCCTGCTGCTCTTGGTGAAGAGGGGAGTGTAAGGTTAGCGAGTGTCATGGCGGTGGCCTCTTTGGTTTAGTGAGAGATTGCCAGCTGGGGAATCATTTTAGTGAGGTGAGAGTAGCATAGAAACAAGCATATTGATCACAGTGGTAGAGTTCAGAAGAGCCTGGAAGATTGGGGAAGTATTGTGGGAATGAGGTAAGCCTCACCTCTTCAGATAAGTTGAGATGCTTCTCTACTACAGTGAATTGTTTCATTTTAGGACTATTTAACTTACATAAATGTTGTAGAGTATTACATAATGACAAATTGTCCATTGTAAAATTTCTTGTAATTGTGCCTTTCTAATTTCTGAGTTGATTATTCATCTTTGCTGTCATTGTATGTATGTATGTGTTACAGAAATAGTTCATCATTGAGAAATATAAGACTGTTCAGATAAGTAAAAGTGCAACTTCTCCCAAATTTCCACTAGCAAGGGACAGCCACTGTTAACATTTTGTCTGTCTATGCTTTTTTCCCAATCATGCATATATTTATATGTGTAAAGATTTTTATAAAAATAAGTGTCTACATCATAGATCTCTACACCATTGTTTTATAGTGCAGTCATGTGTCGTTCAGTGACAGGCATACATTCAAACAAATGCATTGTCCAGTGATTCCTTCCTTCCCACTCTCCTCCCCTCCTCTCCCCTCTTCTTCCCTTCTCTCCTCTCTCTTTTCCTCTCCTCTTTTCTCCTTTATCCTTTCCTCATTCCTTTCCCCTTTCCTATTTTTCCCTTTCCCTTTCCTTTCCACCGTACTGGGGATTGAACCCAGGCCCTTCACACTGAGCTACATACCCAGCCCTTTTTATTTTTTATTTTGGGACAGGGTCTCTCTAAGTCCCTGAGTTTCCCAGGCTGGCTTCAAACTGTTGATCCTCCTGCTTCAGCCTCCCAGAGTACTGTGATTACAGGCATGCACCACCACCCCCGGTTTTCATTTTTGTATGAACATCATAGAGCAGTGATGGTGAACCTTTTAGAGACGAATGCCCAAACTGCAACCCAAAATCCACTTATTTATTGCAAAGTGCTGACACTGCAATTAAACCTGAATACTGAGGTTTTAGTTTAGAAAAAAAACCAACTCATACATTAATATCTTTTGTCTTAAAAGAAAAACAAGTAACACACGTGCCATAGGTTTGCTGCCACTGTCATCAAGTGTACTTGCACAAACTAAAATGGCTATGATCTTCCTAAGCTATATAACTTTATGACACTACCAATGTATATGGTTTCTGTCATTGACAGAAACAGCATTATATGGTGTGTGACTATTAATATTCTGTTGTTAGATTTTAGACTGGTTTACAGTTTTCTTGCTACTGCAAACAGTGCTCTAGAGAACAACTTTTAAAAACAACTGTTCACTTTGTCCAGTTGTTTTGCTAGGATCAATCCTGGAAATGGAATTATTTTATTCAAGCTTTGATATGTGTTGTTAAATTGGCCTTTGAAATGTGTCAGTTAAGCTTCCGTACTCTACTGACACTGGTTATGCTTTGTCAGTCTGGTAAATAGAGCATAGTTTACATTTAATTTTTAACTTTCGTTTTTTGTGATGATAAAGTTATCAGCATTTCTGTTTTTGCTCTTTGGTAAATTTTCCATTGATACCCTTTACCTAGTTTTGTGATAGGGTGCTTTTCTTTTCCTTTATTAAGTATAACAACTTTTGCAATATAGTTTTCCAGTTTCACTGTTTTTTGTTTATAGTGTTTGTTCCTATAGAATTACTGAAATTCTACATAGTCATGCCATTTGTTTCTTCATATCATTTGTTTCTACCTTTTGAATTAAGCTGAGAACAGTCTTCCTAATCCCAAAGTTATACTCTTATCCACTTGATTTTCTTTTATCATTTCTACGATTTCACTCTTCTACTTTTTAAATCCACTTTTTTGCTTTAAGGCTTGAAACTGGGATGCGACTTTAAATGTTCGCTGGCCATCTCAATTAATTTGATTATTCTCCTACTGACTTCCAATGTTGCTTACTCAATATGCCAAATTTTGAGCATACACTCATGCTCACCCTTGAGCCAAACTGTTTTATTTGGTTCCATTGATTGATTTCTCTTTCTATTCTTAGTTATAATTTTTAATATATTTTTCCTATATATCATTACAATACTATGCCAGAATACTTGAATAAGTTTACTTGTTTACTATATGAGACTTGAACTCTTGGGCTCAAGCAGTCCTCCCACCTCTGTCTCCTGAGTAGCTGGGACGATAGGCACATGCCACTGTGCCTGCCAAATAAATTTATTTTAATTGCCTTTCTTTTATCTACATTTCATCATTACATTTTATTGGCATAAGAAATTTACTTCAAAAAGTTGTTCCTGAAAAGTTTGACACTCTTTGTTTATTCAAGGAAGCTATTGCTTTGAGACTTCATTAATAAGTCCTTGGAGTTTTGGGGGGAGGGATTGTCCTTATGTTGTCAGAAGAAATATTGTTATGTTTTGAATTCTTTATTCAACAAACATTTCTAGAACCTGTATTATATGTAATCAGTAACCCAAAAACTCAGTGGATTCCTAAGAAGTGTTTGAGCACTTTTTTTTTACTAGGACCTTTTACTTTTTGCATGTTTGAAGAAGAATTTCTGTAGGAAGTTTTAAGCAAAAACTTGGGTAATACTTTAGTTTCTTGTGAATACTTCCTTTTAGTGCATAATGAAAATCTACAAAAATATGAGTAGATAACCAGCCTGGGAACACTGCTGGGAAGTGTGAGCATCAGCCCGTGAGATACAAAGACTGATCATGTTTCATTTCCTTCCCACACAGCTTTCTACAAGTTCTGATTAAAGTGAGAAATAGACACAACGATGTGGTTCCTACAATGGCACAAGGAGTGATTGAATACAAGGAGAAGTTTGGATTTGACCCCTTAATTAGCAGTAACATTCAATATTTTCTGGATCGGTTTTATACCAATCGCATCTCTTTTCGCATGCTTATTAACCAGCATAGTAAGTTGTGTTTTGTTGTTCCAGTTTTGAAAAGGTAATCAAGAGTGATTTCTCCCGCAAGTTTTCCTCTTGCTTTCCTGTTGCTTTCCTGTTGATTCACTGAGCTACATTTTTAACTACAGAAATTTTATTTCTGTGTTAATTTTTGTATCCTGCTACATTGCTAAATTTAGTTATTAATTCTACGTTATTGGTAGAAATATAAACTAGTACAACCACTATAGAAATCTATATGGAGATTTCTCAAAAATCAAAAACTAGAAATTCTATTTGAACCAGCTATTCCCCTTCTAGGTATCTTCCCAAGAGAGTTAAAGACATCATATCACAGTGATACATGCACACCTATGTTTATAGCAGCACAATTCATAATAGCTAAATCTTGGTATATGTGCTGCCCAAGCAAGCACTTATAATAGCTAAATCTTGGAAGCAGCCTATATGCCCATCAGTAGATGAATGGATAAAGAAAATGTGTTTACACACAGTGGAGTACTACTGTGTCACAAAGAGGGATAAACTTGAGTCATTTGTAGAAAAATGGGTGCACCTTGAGATTAAAATGTTAAGTGAAATAAATGAGACACACAAGTTTAAATATCACATGGTTTCTCTTACATGAGAAACCCAAAATACAAATAAAGAGAAAAATAAAAGATAATAGGAGATAGATGTTTCTCAAATAGGAATGGGAGCAAGTGGTAGAGGGAGAAGGGAGGAAGGGAAGGGAGAGAAAGGGGACGAAGAAAGGAATTAAGATGTATTATGCATGCGTACCAACTCCACACAAGGAAATGTCATCATTATATACTGCAAACGTGTACTAATCAATAAAACATCGAACAAAATTCATTTCTAGTTCAGTTTTTCCTAAGTGAATCTTGTCTACTAAAAAGCTATTGATTAGTATTTTTTTGTTAAACAAGATCCTTGAAAGACTTTTATGATGCTCCTATTAGAGACAAGATCTTTTAAGCCTCTGCCATGACATTCTTGGAGGGGATGAGGGACCAGCAACTGGGTGTTCATCTCTGAATATCTTCATGTGTTCTACTTTTTATCCAGGATATTATGTATTTTCCTTTTTAGTTTTGAAAACATCAATACTGTAAATACAGAATTGGCATGTTAGCAAATAAGCATTCAATGCTTTATTTCAGGGATCAGTGAAATCCATTTAAATGAGATTATCAGTTCATAATCCCTCACTGAGAGTTTTCTTCTGTTCTCTAGAGTGATAAGAACATATTTAAAAAACTAAAATTGTTTTGTCACAGAAAACTTTTTGGCTCATTTTCAGTGTTGTCTCTTTGACTGATTTAATAATTCTTAAGAAAAGCTATTCACACACCCACAGCCTAATTCTTTGTCCTTGTTGAACCAGACAATGGACAGAGCACCTTTATTCTACTAATTTATTTGGATAAGCTAACGTTATACAACTACTAAAGATGGGTTATTTTAAATGCATATCTTTTAAGAACAAATATATGGCAATTTACATTTAAAAAGAACTTAAATACTATTTAACAACTATTTAGATAACGTCAGTTTCTTTCTGATGTAATTATGTACAAATACATATAATATGTTCATGCTTTTAGATCATCAGTTAAGCTTATACAGCTCTGATTTTCTTCCCCTTAATAATTAGAACTTTAAGTACTGATTTAACGCCTATACTTACCATTTTTCTTACTTTAAACTGTCCTGTTTTATTTAGCCATTTTTTGTGGAGTCCAAGTTATTCCCAATTTTTGCTTGATTTAAAAGCAAGTACAGTGGGGCTTGGAGTGTAGCTCCGTGGTAGAGCGCTTGCCTAGCATGTGTAAGGCCCTGGGTTTGCTCTCCACACACCACCAAAAAATAAACAAACCTATAAAAATATGGATTGAGAGTGCTTTTTTCTTTGGGGCTTCTTTTCGCTTTTATTCAGAAATGAAATTTTGCAAATCTTGTGTATGGTGAAATTATCTGAATTTTTTTAAAGATACTTGAAAAATATTGTTTGTATATATGTCATGGAAAGTAATCTCCATGACAGAGGAGTTTGAAATGTTGCTGGTGAAGGCATCGCACAGGCCTACCCAGATGGTATGGACTGTGTGTTCTGAATATTTAATGAATAGCAGAACAAATGTCTGGAGTAGTCCTGAGAAAGTGAGTAAACTTGGCTAAGGGTGAAAGTGAGTTTCTTCATCTGTCACACTGGCTGGAGGAAAAAAGGTTGGGCCTCCACACACATCACTGCTTTAGGATCTGCCACCTATAATGACAGATCTTAAAGCACATCCTTCTTCCTTCTTTGGCTGGTAGGGTTGCTCATGCTCCTGTATTTCCCTGCTTGACCATCCCAACCTGCTATATTTTAATCCTGTCTTTTCCTTTTTGTGTTCAGCACTTCTGTTTGGTGATGACACTAATCCTGCGCATCCTAAACACATAGGAAGTATTGATCCCACCTGTGATGTGGCCGATGTGGTGAAAGGTAAGGAAACCATTGCAGTGTCATTGACTGCAGCTCAAATGGCATCATCGTTTCTAGCCATTTAATCCAAGTATGAAATGTTCTTTCTAGACAGTTCAGGTAAAGATGTGTAATTTGTTACGCTCCAAATGTGTCTATTTCATCGATCAGGGCTATGCTTGTAGCTCTATCTCACGCAGGAAACATTTAAGTAAGATTCTAAGTTTTGATTACCACTGTTATCTGAAAATTTCCTCGTTTTAAAATTAGGCTGAGTTCACATGTTTGTGAAATGTAAGCATCTCTGTTGTCCAGTCCTGGTATTAGACTCTACGTGGCATGTGAACTTAGGCAGACACTGCCAGGAGCCTCGGGAGAAAACCAGGCCTTATAGTCAGAAATCCCTGGTACCCAGGTACTTTGAATTTGAACAGCAGTTTCCTCATTATTCATTTAGGATAAAGGCTCTCTCCAGAAAGCCTGCCTGTGTTCAAGTGATCCACCAGGTTCCTGCACCTTTTTGATCTTTTTTTCAGTGCTATGATTATTCTGTGCAGCTTCAGATTCCCAACCAATCCCTTTCCCCTGATTGTGTCTCCTACTGTGCTCTTCATCTCTCTTTTAAACACTCCTTTTACAAGGTTTTACACTCACAGCTCTCACTGGTCTCCATTGAGGATCTCTGTTTCTCTTCAGCAGCCACAGCTAAGGCGGACCTGTGCAACTTGTTTAACCTGGGCATTCCTAAACCCAGGGATGAGGACCCAAGGCCTGTTGGTCCTAGCTCAGCCTGAATACCAGACTGCTTCTGTTTAGTCGGAAAACATTTGCTCACGTTATTTCAGTGACAAGCTTATATATTGTGTCTGTGCCTTTTCTTTTGAATTGTAATCAATTAAATGTCAGGCTTTGTGTCTTAAACTTGTGCAACTCACCTAGAATTTAAGTGAGTATAAATATTCCTTGGTTTGATAAATTTTAAACCTTTTCATAATTTGCTTTTTGTTTTGTTTTGTTTTTTGAGATAGGGCCTTGTTATGTAGTTCAAGCTGGCCTTGAGCTCACATTTTAGCCCAGGCTGGCCTCAAACTCCTGGTGATCCTCCTGCCTCAGCCTCCCAAGTGCTGAGATTACAGTTGTGCACCCCCATGCCCGGTGCCAATTTACTTTAAAAACAACTTTATGTGGACATAATTCTCATACCATACAGTTCACCAATTTAAAATGCACATGCAATCACCACAATCCAATTTTAGAACATTTTCTTCATCTCCAAAAGGAGTCCTGTACTCACTAGCAGTCACTCCCTACTACCCCTCTCCCTACCCCTAGGCAACCACTAATCTGTCTCTGTAAATACTCTCCTATTCTAGACATTTCATATTAATATAGTCATACAGTATATAGTCTTCAATGACTGACTTCTTTCACTTAGCGTGATGTTCTCAAGTGCCATCCATTCAGTACTACAACCTTCTTCATAAGTATTCCATGACATGTATAAACATGTTGTTTATTCATCAGCTGATGGGCATATGGGTTAGCTAGGTTACCTTGAACATGTCATGCAATATCTTTGGACTTCGTTTTTTTCTGCTGTAAAATGGTACTTTCTGGATTTTATAAGAATTGAAAATTTGAACACTGGATTTTTTTTTTTGAGACAGCATCTCACTATGTAGCCCAGGCTGGCCTCAAACTCATGATCTTCCTGCCTCAGCCTCTTAAGTGCTGGGATTATAGGTGTGTGCCACTACGCCCGGCTAAACACTGGATATTTGAAATTAAGGAATAGTTAATTGTTAGGTGTGACATCGGTGTGGTGGTTTTGTTTTTTTAGAAGAATTCTAGCTTTGAGGGAATATTTTAAAATATTTACACATGGTATGAAATGATATATGGGATTTGCTTCAAAATTATACAGAGAGAAGGGAATGAAGATTGGGCTTATGTTGGAAATTGTTAAGGCTGTTGCTAAGCACTTGGGATTCATTATACTATTCTCTGTACTTTGCTATATGTTTGAAATTCTTCATGATCAAGCACTCATTTTTATAATCTTGTTTGTTCACAAAGACTTTCTTTAATTTTTAGGGAAACTTTAAGAACCACTAGAATTTGATAAGTAACTGGGAGTTTTATGAACCCGTTACTATTTCTATGAAACAGAGATTAAGCAATGCTGAAGTGAGTCAGAGGCCTTGTAAGAGGGTTCAAGGGCAAGTTGCTGTGACTTAATCGCTAAAGTCTGCATTACTCTATAGTATTTAGACATAGTATTATCTGGTCTTGTCAGTATTTGTCACGTTGCTCTCTATAACCTAAGTATAGATTTCTAAAGGTCTAGAATTACTCTGATACACTTTTGTACCACTACACTTAGTGACAGTAGTTTTGTACCAAAACTAGTTGAAGAGTATGCAGAATAATTCAATATGCATTTGTGAAAAAAGCCTGGAAGATTATGTCTGTAGTCCACCTCTTTGACTCCTTGTGTTAGTCAACTTTCCATTGCTGTGACAAAATACCTGAGGTAAGCAACTTAAAAGGGAGGGGAGGTTATTTTGGCCCACAGTGTGAGAGATTTCAGTCCATCATTGCTCAGCCCTATCACTTTGGGGCTGTGGTGAGGCAGAACATCACGGCAGGGAGTTTGGGGCAGAGCAAAACTGCTCATTCATGGCAGCTGGGAAGCAAAGAGGAATAGCTGGTGTCCCAGCATCCTCTTCAAGGACACACCTCCAGAGACTTAACTTCCTTCCACCTCCTGAAGGTACTACCACCTCCCATTAGCACCACAGACTGGGGACCAGACCTTGGACCCATGGGCTATTGGGGACATTTAAAATCCCAACCATAACATTCCTGTTTTCTTTGTCCCTTTTGTTCACAATTTGACCACACGCCCAAATCCTTTCTTTCTCCTCTCTCTTCTTGTACTTACTCCCAACTTTATCTTCCTTGCCCTTTTAAACTTTATACCCAAAAGTGTACTGTTTTAGTTACTTTTCTCTTGCTGAGACAAAATACCCGACCCCCAATGCTAAGGAGGAAAGGTTTATTTAGCTCATAGTTTGTAGAGGTTTCAGTCCATAGTTGGCTGGCTCCAAGGCAGGGTGACACATGGCAGAGGGGCACGGAAGAGAAGAAACAGTTCATGGCTTGCAGAAGGTAGCAAAAGCAACAAAGGACTTTAACTGTGTCCTTCTGCCCCTTTTATTTTATCCAGGCTACTTAGGGCAGGTAGCACTGACACCCTTAATCCTAATGCCCTTGAGCCTAGCACTGCACCATGAATCAATTCCAGTGTCACACACTATAGATCCAGCCACCTCTAAAAACCCTCACCTATGACTGCGTGAGGCTTTGAACACAAGCCATAACATTCTGCCCCTGCTGCCCCAAAGACTCATGCACATCCCTTTATGCAAAAGGCATTTAGTGCATCTCGAAGAGTCGCCAAAGACCTAACAGTTTCAGCATTGCTGAAAAGTCCAAGTCCAAAGTCTCCTCTGAGATTTAAGGTGAACTCTTAGCTGCAAGCCCCTGTACAAAATGAAAAGAAAGTTAAATCCTGCCAATATTCAATGGTACAAGATAGACATTTCCATTCCAAAAGTTGCAAATGGGGGATATGAAAGAATGCAACCAAGCAAGTCCAAATCTAGCAGGGCATATATTAAGTCCCACGGTTCCACTTCCAGCATCCCCAGCAGTCTGTGGCAAGTTGGAATTCCAAAGGGCTTGGGTGACTCTGCCCCTACGGCACTTCTGGTGGTGGTAGCTCCCAGGGCTTCTCTCTTGGGCTGGCTCTGCTCCCTCTTTGCAGTTTTCCTCAAACATCCACGGTCCTGGCTTCTCCAAACTTCTGGGGTCTCTACTGCACCTTCAGCTTCACACTCACAGCTTCACACACTGCCCTCTCAGGGGCACACTGCCTGGCCTCCCAGGCCTTCTTCTGAAATCTGGGTGGAAGCGTTCCTGACTCCACAACTCTTGCATTCTACCTGCACCTAAAACCAGCATCATGTGGATGATGCCAAGGTCTGCTACCAGCTGGAGCAGTAGTCAGGCTTCCTTCTCATTTGGCTGTAAGGGTGAAGTCCCTGGGTCACTGAGCACTCTGAACCCAGTGCGGAGGAACAGATTCTCTAGACTGCCACCATTCTGAAACATGGTGCTCTGGAGCTTTCTTCTCAAAGCAGTCTTTCACTTTTGCAATTTTGAGGCTGCAAAGGCTGGAGTCCTGCTGCTTCTTGTGATGCCCTCAGGCCATCTTTTCTATTCTCCTGTTCCTTCTCGGCAATCAGGATCTCCTCTGCTCTATCTTTGCAGTCCACAGCTTTACTGGAGCTTCCTTTCTAGCCAAACTCAAAACAGTTTGGATCATTTTGCTGGGCTCTTTGCTCTTGATTTTCAACATAAATCTGGCTAAAAGGTCCCAACAGTAGCCATGCCACCGCCTCAACATTAGACTGCCTTGAAATTTCATCTGCAAGATTAATTCATCCGCCATCCTTAATCTTAGTCTCAGGCAAAATCTGGACATCAGCAAAATGCAGACAAACTTTCTGCTAAGCCATAACACACATGGTCTGGAGTCCAGCAGCCAGTGCAGTCCTTTCCACCAGAAACTTCCCAAGCTTCCAGTCTTTACCAGCAGGATTTCTATCAGCCTTCTGGTCTTCTGAGCTCTGACCAGAATCTCCCATCAAGTACAACCTAAGGCATTCCAGCTCTACTTTTTCAGGAGGCATCTGAACCTTTCCTAACTCTTCCCCTTCTCACAAGCCATTCCCAAAGGCTCCTGGGCCACGTGGTCAGGTACAGTCACAGCAAGGACCCCACTTCTCTGGTACACAAATTCTTAGTTACTTTTCTCTCATTGCTGAGCCAAAATACCCGATGCCCAAAGTTAAGGGAGAAAAGGTTTATTTAGCTCACATTTGTAGAGGTTTCAGTCCATAATTGGCTGGCTCCAAGGCTGAGTGGCACATGGCAGGGGGCATCACTGAGGAGAA